GCATTAGATGGTAATTGTGAGAATTTAAGCTGCTGTTGCTGTTCGAAGTCGAGAATTTTTTTTTCTTCTGCAATAAACTGGGAAGTTTTGGTTTTTAAATAATTTTATAGTCATAATAATCTGGGGTTGGGGATTAAGATTTAAATGATAAGTAGATATTAAGCCTAGGGCGTTATTTGAGGGGTTTGGATGTAGATAGCCTGCATACTAAAACTACATTTTTGCGATAAATATTAAATAAGAACTTAGTTAAGTTGAAGACATCACTAGGGATGCAAAGGGGTGCACATTTAAAGATTCGACAAGCAACTGTCATAAAAAATGTGTCATGTGAGCCTCTAAACCTTTCCAACTCAAAACTGATACTGCAAAAAACAGCAAGTTCATAAAATCACTTTAATCCCTTCATCTAAGTCCAACAATATTTCAGTTGAGGTGGTTTTGTCCTTTTAAAAATGTGAATTAAAGAAACTTGTTTCTATCTAATCTCTCAATTTTGCTCTTCTTACTTACATAACTTTTTTTTTTCGGTATTATTATAGTACTACAGAATCTTATCAGTAAGTACAGTTAAGCTGTTTTAATAAAAATTCTCGTCATTCTGCTAATCTTGCGATATTTTTCTCGCATTCCATATTTGTAAGTTTCTTAAGGAATTTTTCTTGAATTTGCATAATATTTTTATTTTTGTGGAGTTGGGGGAATTAATTTGGGGGAGTGAATTAGAGTTAAATTAGAGAAGCTAGCATCTGTGGGTTGTAATATTTACAAGAGGGAGGAGTTTATCCCAAAGGTTTATGCATTTTTTTTTAAATAAAAAACCAGCAAATTGAAGAAATTTTCCCTTTACCGGATTGGGGTCCTTCTTTAGACCCCAACCCGAATAGCACAAATCGGTTATTCGAATAGACTTTAGCATGATCCTAGCTTTGATTTAAATCCAGTACCATGCCAGAGTCATACTGCCAACTGTCATACTGAATTTAAAGTAGAGAATGCGGAAATATTTCAAAAGATTCGACATTTGAACGTCTAATAAATTGGTTAAATTGATACAGAATGAGACATTTAGTGCTCAGAATACTTGAGCTAGTCTAGTATGATTGTCCATGCATGTCATCAATCAGGGATTGGCTGTTTTTATGAACTTCTTTTTAATCTTACTCAAAGATCTTCAGACCCACTTTCCCCTAAATCCTGGATGTCACTAGTAACATGCAAATCTTTCAAGCCATCTTCCAACAAATCCCACATTTCCATTTCCCTCAAAGAAAATATCACAGATTGTGTAACATGCACACATTTCATCCTTCAATCGTTCCACATCGTATTGCCGTGTGAGGAAGCGCGGAAAATTCATTTATATAAGAATCTCATCAAATATCATGAAAAATACAAGTCGAAAAGTGTTCACGATCAGCCAAAATATATTAAAAAAATTATTTTTAGAACAACAAAAAAAAGATCTTACTTGTTTCTTCTCTCGACTGTGTGTATTTTTTTTTTGTGCAATCGCAAGCATCCGCAACTCTCGAGTGATCTTGATTGCTTATGTAATCGCACAGCGCAGTAAAATAATATTGTATGTATTAAAATTTGTGAGACTTTATGGATATATAAATAGCTAATTTGCGCATTTTGTCAGAAAAAATAAATTCAAAAGAAGTCAAGATAATAATTCGTCAGAGAGGACCTAAAAAAAATGTGTGTTAGTAATGCAATATCGGTCGAACGAATCTGTTTTGAGATATTTTTAAAAATAAATACTTTTCAATGCTATTTGAAAACATTGTTGATGCCTCTCATATCTTCTTAAAAACTGAAACTTCATTTAGAATTTTTTATTGCTACTTATACTTGTACTCGTTGGATGAAGGAAGAGAAGAAAATGAAATACGATGATGAAGATGAAGATGGCGATTTTTAAGGGGTGGGGTAATGCATCAATAGATGGAAATGCGAGCTCATGACAGTGGTATAGCCAGAATGAAAATAAATCGAGGGGATATGGATCAAAATGGACAGATTAAGATTTGAATTGAATGCAAATAATCATGCCAAATATCAAGATTCATAGATTTGAAAGCCACTTTATGTCGGGAAATCCAACTACTCTACTAGGTATACATTTGGAAGAGCTATACTAATCTTAAACATTTTCTGGCTCCAATATGGTCTCTCTTAGTCTCTCTTAAGCTCTTTGAGGCTCTCTTGTGCTCTCTTTAGTTTTATTAGACTCTCTAAGGCTATATAAGCCTCTCTTATTCTCTCTGAGTCTCTTTTCAGCTCTTTTAGGCTCTTTTTGACTCTCTGAGGCTCTCTGAATCTCTTTGTGGTTTACACGTGCTATCTTAAGTTCTATTAGACTCTCTGAAGCTCTATAAGGCTCTCTTTTTGACTCTCTTGTGCTATTTTAAGTTCTACTAGAATCTCTCAGGCTTTCTTGTGCTCTCTTAACTTTTACTAGACTGTCAGAGGCTCTATAAGTCTCTCTTATTCTTGATGAGGCTCTTTTGTGCTCTTTTTAGTACTGTTAGACTTTCTGAGGCTCTAAAAGACTCTTTTAATCTCTCATCGACTCTTTGAGTCTCTCTTGAGCTTTTTTAGACTCTCTTTGGCTCTCTTAGACTCTCTTAGGCCTTCTTAGGCTCTCTTGTACTCTCTTAAGTTCTCTCAAGTTCCCATAAGCTCACTTAAGCTTCTCTACCTCATTTACCTCCTTTGTATCGCTATAGATAATTTATTCTTCTTCTCTCATGTCCAACATTTATTTAATCAGTAAATCAAAAAGGAAAAAAATCAAATTAGATGAATGCTTTTCATGCTATTTTTATGTTGAATATGAAGCTAGGGCAACAAAGTTATTAAAATACTGTTTTCAAATTTCTCTCGCTTTTTGATCATGTGATGTTGATTGTCCAAAAATAGACATTCTGAATAAATTTTTTTCAGAAGTGGGGCAAATTATGCAATTTCCAGTTCACAGTCAGCGCAACGAATGATTAAAAAATAAAAATTTTATTATTTCAGTGACTGTAAAATTTTTTTGATAAAGTTCTAAAATAAATGTATGAACAACGAGATTATCATTATTAGCGTATACTTTGTATGTGTGGAGGCGCTGAGCGATATTATTTTGCAGTCGTCACTAGGTCACATAAGCAAGAAGAAGCCGAAAATGTTTTATACAATATTTCTTTTCATGACTGCATTCAGTCATAACATCTTCATTTGACCTTCAAATTTGTTTTTTTATTTGTTATTATCATTGCAATATGAGCGTGTGTATTTAATATTTAATAAATTATTATTATTAGTATTATTGTCATTATTCTATTGGCAAATGAAGCAATTCATCCGCATTTGATGGCATCATTCACATGCAAATAACAGAAAATGAAGATGAATAATGTTATTTTTGAGTAAAATTGAGCTTGACAGATTTTCGGTGAAAAATAGGGAATTAGTGCACAAATTTTTGTGCTGGTCATGAGTTTATTTTGAGAAGTTAAATTATGGCGTGTATCCAAAAGTGCAATTTTTAAATTTATAAATTATTTAAGTTTTAAAATCGGGAAATGAGGGAATTAAGATGGGGCTATGGAGAGCTATGAGTGAGACTAGGTTATTCTAGTGTGATATTAAGATGAGACTGGTGAGGGACTAAGACAAGACAAGGTCCAAGATTTTAATGGAACTAAAACACGATTTAGGCTGAACTATGAAGAGACTAGGCATAAATGAGGACAGTATGAAGAATACTAGATTAAAGCTAAACTAGATTAGAACTTTAACTAACCTAAAGCGAAGCTAGAGCAGTAAGAAGAAGCTCCTGGCGAGGAACTAGAACAAATTGACTGAGATGAGCTTAGGACAGGATTAGAATCGGCTTAAGATGGAGTTTAGTAGGGTTTTCAATCCTGAGATTAAAATGTATGTAATCCCAGAGTCAAACCCGAGATTCAGTACAATTTAATTCTGTGATTGAAAACCCAAGAGTTTAGGTTAAGACAAAGAAGAATACATTAGCTTAACTAAGTCTGAACTGGATAGAAACTCAGGCAAGACTAGTATGGGACATAGATGATATATTCAAGCTTGACAAGGATTGTAATAAATTGAACGAGGACTAGACAAATATAAAATTCCTTCAAGACAAGAATAGGACAAGAAAAAAATCCTACCTCAGTTCCAACATCGAGAGACTTGAAATGCATGGATTAATCCCAAATTCTGAAACTTTTACTGCTCATACATAGACAGAAACGAAAAATTATTGAACAACATACTCGAACAAAAAAAAATTGATCGTAGTTAATTCCAATTATTAAACACGCATATGACTCGATACGGAAATCAGTAATTATTTTCAACAATAATAAATCTTAAGCTTAAAACATCGCAACACCCAAAAATTCAATTAAAAAATGCGTTCATTTCAACAATATCCACGCAAACCAAAATCCACAATTCTCAGACATCAAGATAGTCTCTTATATGTATTCACATAAATGTCTGATAAGAAGCCTCAACAATGCAGTTTTTCATTTGATTCGGCTCTTATCAGCGCAAAACAGAGCAGCGGTGTATTTTACTGTGTCATACATAACAAAACAATGTGTACAAAAATAATTTTTATTTTATATTCTCGCTGCTCCACAGCCGCGATAACACATTTATATAAATAGACAGAAGAAGAAAAAAAAAATATTTATATGTACACATATTTTTCTTTATTTCCCTGTATGTGGGTTACTGATAGCACATTTTTCTTCTTCACATTCCCATTCCTTTATATAAAATAATCTGAACATTTTTTTCAAGGTCACACGTTTATTTGTAAAAACATTTTTTTTCTCGCTTTTATCGTGCTCGCCTGATGATTTTCTTCTCGTTCTGCTTTTTTTCCTCCTCAAAGAAAATACATAAAAAAAATATTTAAGTCTCACAATGTCAAGATGATCATTTGTTATAATGCTGCATTTTTTATATATTTTCAGGAACAATATTTAAAGCTCACAAGCTCATACTAGCAGCATGTTCGAAAAATTTTGCTGATTTATTTGAGACACCATCATTGGCAACTGGTTCAGTATGCGTCATTCTTGAAGCGACGTCGGCTGAGAATATGGCTGCATTGTTAGAATTTATGTACAAGGGTGAAGTGCATGTATCACAAAAAGCTCTTGAAAGCTTTCTAAAAGCAGCTGAGAGTTTGCAGGTTTGTTGCATTTTTCATCATCATATTCTCAAAAGTATGAATTTCAAAATTATTATAGGTCAAAGGACTTACCACGGAGCATGGTCGTTGTACAACAAATACAAATTTCCCGAGTGATAGCTCATCGCCCACTGATTTGCCATCACGTCGGTTAAGAAATAGTTTTTCTAATCTCGATCCAATTACAAAGAGTGGCATAAAGCGTGAGACAGATATGATTATGGCTGGTGCTGTAACATCCTTCCCACACAACTATTTACAACCCCAACCGTATATGCCAAGTCCATACGAGCCGGCCCGCAAACGTCACATGAAGAATCTGTATACGAATATTGATCAACAGGAAACGCGCGGAAGTGTTTTAAGAGACGGTTCAAAGACAAGTACTGGAAGTCCGAGCCCGGTTGGTAAAACAGCTGGTTATCGTCCTGCAAGCAGTGGATCATCGGCAGCACATACTGAAGCGGATACAATGCAAACGGAAAGAGATTCACCACAACAGTCCAAGTAAGGCTTAATCTCTTATTTTTGTTGTTAAACTTTACTTATTTTCTTCTTTAAAATATTAATAGTAGATACGAGAATCACAGCCCAAGCACGACTCAAGGTAATGGAACGTCTTCGACATCGGAACGTGACGAACGAAATGGAACGGATAAAGAAACGGAATTGAACATTAAGAATGAAGTAAGGATGCCCCAACACCTCAATTTTAATTCGTAGCTGAATAAAATTAAAATTTTTTATAGGCTGGTGCTGAAGATTTACGGATGAAAATGGAAATGAGGCAATTGCAATCACCCATAGGACCATCGTCAGTTCCGCCCACGCCAACAACGCCGATTGTACCATATCCAGGCAAGGGAATTCCTGTTGGTTTAGAAGGTACGATAGCACCGACCGATATGCTCAATGTCTTAAGTGCTCATAGAGAAAGTGTAAATACAGCTGACGGTAAGCTGATCATGTGAATCTCATAAACGCTCTGGACGTTACGTCAAAAATTATAAAAAATTGAAAATAATTTTAAATTGAAGAATCATGAATTTGAGAAATGGACATGAGCATTTAGTTACTTTGAGTTTATTTTATCGTTTTACTTCTCGGTTTATTGCTTGACATGAATTATATTTTGTAACGTATTTTAAAAATTTAAAAATTTGCATTACTTAATATTTTAAAAAAATTCCGTTAATTTCATATTCCAAAATTTTTTCATTTAACTTTCTAGGCAAGAAGCTTCAATGTCCATTATGTGATCGACAATACGGCTACGAAACAAACTTACGAGCTCACATTAGACAACGTCATCAAGGTATTCGCGTACCCTGTCCATTCTGTTCGAGAACATTTACTCGCAACAATACAGTACGTCGTCATATAGCACGAGAGCATAAGCATCAGCAAATTGTTACTCCGTTTACAAGTTAAGTTGTCACAAGTTTTTTGTTTTACGATGCGAATGTGCATGTGGAAAAGTGAAAATGATACGTCGAGAGACGGCATGCACATGCAATTTTTTTTTACTATATTATCTAAGTGAAAAAAAGAAGAAGACGTAATCCATTTGAGAATGAAAGAATCTCGTGCGAAAATGTAATTAGAAAAAGATTTTCATTTAGAAGAAAAAAGAAAAAAAAATTCATTTAACAAGTTTGAAGTAAACGATTTTGTGTCTAGGGGTTGGACGGAAGACACAGAGAATGGAAGTTGCAATAATATAAAAAAAGAAGACAATCCATTTTTCATGAACTGTAAACTTTAATTAGTTTCTTTTTTATTTCTACTTACTCTTTACAATAGAGAAAGCAGTTGTTAATTACACAGACGTTAATGAAACTCACATGCAATATCATTACAATTACAAAATGGAATATATATGGGGATATAAAGATGGGGGATGAATATGGGGAAGTGACTGATGTGCACTTCCTTGTATTAAATAGGAATCTTTTTTTTAATCGGAATTTTGGGGTGTTTGGGGGTGTTTATGGAGGGAGTGGGTGCAGTTGAAGGTCTGGAAATTGAAACTAGCTTTACTAAGTTGGCACGAATTTTTAAGAAGGAATTTTATAAAAATTCGAGTCAACTTCAAGCTATAAACTTCATTTCTAGCAGTTGATGCCACATACTCCATCCTTAGCGCCCCCCAAACCTCTCAAAATTCAGAGTGTATAAAAAGAAAGATAAAGTTACACAACTCAAAAAACTGTTTTTAATTCATTTTTCTCATTTAAAAGAAATACGAAACTTTTTAATATGAATCACCGCAAGTGTCATTATCAGTAACTGTAAAAAAAATAAAAATTGCAACAAATTTGAACTACAAGAAAAACAAACAGAAACACAATTTGTTTTTAAAATTATCGCAAAAAATACATAGCATTTGCCATTTGAGAGTTATCAATTTTGTTGATAATTTTTCTGACTGCAACATTGCATTTTCTATAATTTTTAATTTTATATACACACAGAGCTGCGATAAAAATAGATAAAATGGGATTTTTTTTGTTTGTTTCAATTTAAATGTTAATTTTTTAAAAAGGTGAAATTTTCCATGCTATGAGTTAAGCAAGAATTGGAAATATTTCATTGAATGATATAATAAATAAACAGTAAATACAACAAAACACAATTGAATCCTTCAAAACAAAATATGTACCTGCCGTATATAATTGAAAGTAAAATTATAATATGATAATTATCGATTCATTCGTTGGTCAAGTAATTTGACGAGAATTTGAATGATTTTGCATCATTTTCTGCTTCAATTGAGGCAAATTTTAAATCAGAATCTAAAAGAGATGCAAAAGCAGACCCAACAAATGAAGCGAATTTTTAAATTAAAATAATTCGTTAAAAATAAATTTATTGAACTCAAACTTTTAATTTTTCTTCCGTATTTCTCAACACAACCTCAAAACAGACGTTATTTAAAGCTGATTGACAGCCAATTGGTTGAATAATGATGATTATTTACCAAAAAAATGTTCTTTTGTTGCAAAATAATTAAAAATAAATGATTTTAAATAATAAATGAAAATAAAATCGTGCAAAAAAAAATGCAAGAAGACAATGTACAAATTTCAAAATATGATGAATGAAAGATGATTAAAAACTATATATTTTACGAAATATTAAAAAAAAAGAAGTAATAATTTAAATATGATGAAGAAAAAAATAGTATGAAACTTGGGTGCCTATAATTATTATATCAAATACAATTAATTATACATAAGTTGTTATATTGATCTCATGATCTCATTATCACAGTAAATGGAAATAGTAAAAAAAAGCAGTAAAATATTTCAATCGACTCTTGTACCATCTTAATATAGTGCTTGAGGCTCTTTGTATACTGTAAAAAATAAAAAAAATACATGTGAAAAATGACAAATTTTCTTCTTTTTTTATAAAAAAAAAAATGCAACTGAAATTGAAATCGTGACCTTCAATGTTAAATGATATTTGCAATAGGAGACAATTATTTAAGTTAATTAAATTAAAATAAAATTTTAAATGAAAATCTTTTTCGACCTAGCACGAATTACCAGCGTTTGAAATGAACGCAAATGATAAATCAGCAAATCTAGTTGAAAAAAGTTACCGTTATACACGTTTTTTTACCTTTTTTAAGTGAAAACAAATTGAGAATGGATGAAAAATTATTATTTTTCATTTTTATTAATTTTACTATTAAGCATTCACGAGCAGTCAGCAAAAAGTCTGCTTTTATTTAGGACGACTAGTGCAGGCATTATTCTCACACAATGTGCTGAATGCTTGCATTTCTCCTTTTTCTTTACAACCCAGTGAACTTCTGTGATCAATAGAAAATTTTTAATTATATTTTTTTTGTGTCTATCTTTATTATTTTTTATTATTTTTTTTTCTTTTTTGACAATTGATGCAATTGTGCAAATTTCTTTTGTTCCTTATTTTGTGCTGACTGTTAAGTTGGGGTGGTTAGAAAATTTAAAAATTGAGACTCTACCCCCTTCCTTAAAAGTTAAAAAAGCTCATTAAAACTTAAAGTTACCAACCCATCATGTATAACATGAACCACGAGCAAGCACACTTCTTATTTTTTTTGTATAATTTTAAAATTTTTCTATTATTTTTGTTCAATTTAAAGAAAAAAAAAGTACACAATAATTGGCGTGTTCTTCCCTCAACCAGTGAAAAGCGCGCTCAACAATAAATAGAATAAATTAATAGCAAATGAATGAAATGAAAAATAATAATTAAAAAAAAAAGTAAAAAATTGAAGTAAAGTAAAATAATTTTATAATTTGTTAAATAAATAATTAATTGAAAGAAAAGTGAATAAGAAGATGAAGATGGAATTATTATTATAATTAAAACGTGAGTTGATAGAATTTTATTTAAAAGATGATGAAAAAAAAACTGCAAGCAAAAAAAAGTTCTGTTTTAAGTTCTTTTTTCAAAAGGAAATTTATTAACTTTGAAATTGTTTTGGAGAGGAAATTTACGAAAATTGAGGAACTTGATGGCTGAGTTTGCTCCTGTTTAATGAGTCTGAATTATTTAATATAAAAATAAGGAGTGGATTTAGCTTGTGGGAGGTTTTTTGGGTGGAAGTGAGGAAATAAGACGAAGGTTAGATTTTAATGGCATTAATTGATGGCTTAGAAGAGGATTTGTGAGGTTTGAGGTCATTTTGCATCAGATTAAAGGATATTTTTCATCTTAAACGTTGCTTTAGTGACCGCCTTTACATTAGCGTTTCTCAAATTTATGTGCTTGGGTGTGAAAAATTGAGAAACACTGTCTTAAATGCTACATCATAAGACTTTTATGCAAAATTATGATATTATGGAGAAAATGTAAAATTCATCCATTTCTTCTTGTAGTTTTGAAGCTAACATCACAAAGGCTAGTTAAGGAAGTCCTTAAGAGTCCAATGGGGCTGCAGAACTTCTTCAATACTGAAGTTGGTAGTAGAATCATTTGATCCCTCACAAAAGAATGATTAGAACCTATTCATAAGAAATTAGTACACTATAAGCCTCCACTTTCAGTCCAGGATTGCCAAATAAAATCTAGAAAAATTCCTCAAGCATTTCTTTACACCCCTAAGAACTCATATCCCAAAATTATCGCAAATTTTCCCTCCAAAAAATATTTCTGACTCAAATTTCTTTTAATTATGTAGTAAAAAATTGAAAGTTACTTGATGGTGCCTGTTAAGTCAGTCACTATCGTTAACAAGAGACTCAAAATAGCAGAAAAATCCCCAACAGATGAATAACTTAAAATACCTCGTTTTTATTCAACTATCGACTTTTTTATGTTGAATAATTTTTTTTTGCATTTATTTTCCAACTTCATTTTTGAAATTTTCTTTTAATGCTGTACTTCTTATTTTAGTATCAACAAAATGAGAAAAATTTTCACAAAAATGTGAAGATGAAGAAAAAAAAATGTTAAAAGAAAAAAAATTAATAATGAGACTACAATAGAACTGTTGATATATGTTTTTATACACACAGATGAAATCAAACTACCTCCATAAAAATAATATGAAAAACTATGTAATGATAATAATAATTATTATAAAACAAATAATATTTTTATTTCTTATTGAAAAAATGATTATTGAAGTTACAAAAACAATACAAGAATGGAAAAATAAACGCCACAGACTTACAATATAGATTAAAAAAATACAAACAAAATGAAATAGTTAATTAAAATAAAAGAAAATTGAAGAATTTTATTTCACAGAAATTGGAAATAATTTTCAGATGTAGCAATAGTTTTGAAAATTCTGAAACTTTTGTTATTTTCTGAAAATATCCAAAAAAATATCAAAACAAAAAAAAAATCAATCATAACTTTTAAGTTAACAATAATTTTTTTTTCTATGAAAAATATATCAAAAAACAAAAATCCCATCAACAAAAAATAATAGAATTTACGAAAAACCAAATAAATTAATTGCACATGTGCAACATTTCATCTCGAAAAATCCTTAAACAAAATCAATATAATCTTTGGGTGGAGCAGAATTGATGAATATTAGAGGAAATAAGCTGAATTGTGATCATAATTATGATGATCTTATGAATTCGAAGTTCTTATTTGAACCCTTTCTTTTTTTGAATTTTTTTGAATTTTCAATTTTTTTGAATTTTCAATTTTTTTGAATTTTCAATTTTTTTGAATTTTCAATTTTTTTGAATTTTTGAATTTTTGTGTTTTTTTAAATTTTTTGGATCTTTTGAATTGAAATCTAATGTTAATAACTTTTCAAAATTGAAAATTATAATATTCAAAAAATTCAAAAATTCCAAAAACATTCAAAAAACTCCAAATGTTCAAAAATTAGATTATATTCAATTAGAAATTCAAAAAATTCAATACAAAATCAAAAAAAAATCAACTTTAACTTCACCAATTCTGCACCAACTAAAACCTATAATCCCAACTCTCCAAAGAAAAAAAAATCTAATCTAAAACTCCTCAATTCTAATTAGCCCCCCAAAAAAACTTTTAACCTAAATCCCCCCACCAAAAAATGTCTTTTAAAATTCTACTCATACACACCAATTTAAATAAAAAATCATCAAATCAAAACAGAATCAAGCAGTAAAAAAGTTACTTAATCTTTCTATAAAAATCAACAATTCAAAATTTATTGTTTGGAGTGAATAGTTTTTCGGACTCACGGAAGTGTCGCAGATAATGATATTAACAAAAAAAATGAATGAACAAAAAAAAACTTTTTTCGGACTAGAAAAGCACTTGAATGATTGGGGATCAATGGATTTTTGGAGGGGGTTTTAAATGAACTTTTGGTAATGTTAATAAAAATTCATTTAAAGCTCCTCAAAAACTATTTCAATCCCCTCCCAGTGCTGTGTAAAAAATACCTTTTCGAACTCTCTTTTGGACATAAAAAAAACAATGAAAGTAAAAATCGTTGAAACTTTTTGAAAATGCTACAAAAAATGTCAAAATTCTAAAAAACATCTTTGAAGCTTAAAAAATGAATTAAAAAAATGAAAATGAATTTCGCGTCAAAAAACGATTAAAAAATGTGTGGACAACAAAATAATACAAAATCAAAGTGTTTCGGTCAACAAAATAAAAATAAAAATTAAAATGATTTTTAAGAAAGAAAAGCACTTTAAATACGCATGAAAATATTACAAAAAAAAAATAATAATAATTTTTTTGTAATTCTGAGTAAGAAAAAATTGTGAATTTTTTTCGACAAGGATAAATGGAAATGAAAATGGTTTTCTTAGAAGCCAATAAAATAATGTT